TTTTTGAGACACTTGGTGCTATAGTCCTCATATTAACATTTGTGGCAGTTGTTGGTTGAGGTGGAAAATAAAAGGTCAATGCTGTTACTTGTGATCGCAAAAGTTGTTCATATATGAGGCATGTAGCTAGCTAGCTAGGGTTGTTGAAGATTGAGAGAGAAAAGTTCTTATGACAAATCACATATCACAAAATAAATAAATAAATAAATACGTAAAGTGAAAAATATATAATATAAAAAGCATGAGACGATTTCAAAAACGGTATATTTAAAATGGATAACTAAGATTAAAATTAAATACAATGCATTGTATGATATAGTCGTATGATTAAAATTATTTTTTTCTTATCTCTCTATCTGAATATTGCATTGTTTAATTCTTATGACATTTAAAGAAATTATTATGTGAGTTTACAAAAAAATTGTTAAGTCAGTAAAATGCTCGGTTCCGAATCTTCCGATAGACTTTAAATTATTTTCTTCTCAAAAAAGGCGTAATAATTATTAGAAATATAGTAACGAGATTCACAATATCTATGAATTGTAATCAATTGCACATGATCATATAAATTTAGCGGAAAAAAATTCGAAGAGAAAAAAATAAAAGAAAATATGAATCCACAAAATCACATGGGGTCAATGATTATCAAGTAATTTCTTGGCTTGGTGGCCATCAACTTATATCATCAACAATGAGAGTGTGACTGTAAGGTAAGATGTCTTATCACTCTTGTAATCCTCTCAACTCTCTTCTTTGTTAAGATCATCTTCAGTATGGAAGACATTGTTCCCTATCTGATAGCAAGTATTTCTCATTTCTCAACTTCTGAAAGAAAAAAAAATTGAATCAACAAGATTTTCATAAATAAAATAAAAATAAATAAATATTCGGTTTATACTGTCTTAATCGGTGACAATACAAATTTGTTATTAAAAATCTATCGTATATATGATGCATTAAAAAGTATGGTGCAATACATTAATAATATTGTTTAAATTTTTTCACTATTTATTAAAAATGTTAGCATTTTGCTTATACGTACACATCATATGAGTTGAGAATCTGATGTCCCTTATGGGAACAACAACTAGCCGGAAGCAGGGTAGCTGAGTGAACTTTATAATGTAACGTCGTCGTCTTGGTGACCAAATAATGAGAGCATATTCCCAGACATGTTTTGTGCCGCTGTAACTTAAATGTACGTAACTGTAGACACGTACGTACGTATGTTCGTACTTACGTTAGTAAAAAGTAACAGCAACGTAACTAACAGCATGTTATGGTTATGCGACATTAGAAAAAAATATTGTTGATTAAAATGAATATGAAAAATACATTAAAAAAAGTTTATAGAGATATTTTTTTATATTAAACTCTCTAAATTTTTATGACACTTCAAATTTAAATATGTTGTCAATGTAACAATTATTATTAACTTGTGGTAGGTACACGTATATTTTTTTAGACCACAAGTTTTAAACTTGGATTGAATAACGAAATTAATGTTATAGCTTTTCTATCTAATTATATCCTTTAATAAATGTATTAATGATCAGTTATAAATATCATCACGTTTTGAATATTTTTCTTTCTAAATTCAACCTTTATTTAATGAGTTATATTATTATTTTACACGACATTTATTAATAGTAACCGAATCAAATGGTGTTTTATATTTTAATTATTCGAATTTGGTTATTTTCCTTTCAACTTTGATAAATTAAGACTCATCAGTGGCACAGGCAGATAAAAATAATAACAATTAAAGAGCTAGTTACATGATTACAATATGAATTAGCTTAAGTCCCTTCGAAATGTTTGCTTAAAGTTTAAATTTTTTTAACACGGTCTGAATTATAATTTTTGATATAGTTCGACAAGAAAAAAAAAACTACATATAATTTACAAACAGACAAAATTCACATCTTAGAGGTAAGAGTTTATAGTTAAACGGCCTGAATTATAATGCAAAAGTATCGATTTACTTTTTCTCTTTTCAAGGTTACTCTTTTATTTAAATGAGTTTAATGGTGATATAGACAGTATAAAATAGTTTTGTATAATCAATAAATCATAATTTGTCATAAATAATAAGTTTATTGATTTTTATAATAATTATCTTAAAAAATATATTAAAAAAATATTATTTTTTATTAGTTGATTGTGTATTTTTTTTATATTAATAGTAAATCGTCATTAAATTCTTTTAAAAATCCTTCATCATTATAATATGTATTTCAGTTTTAGGTATAGTTTTCGTAATTAAACAAAAAAAAAATTCTTAACCAGTTTAAATTATCTTTATTTGTATAGTTGAATTTTTATTTGAAAATGTTTAACTTTTTCAATCCACTCTCTTTTATCTCTATTTTTAAATTAAATTTTAATAATTTTTAAAAAATATCAATAGTTACAAATTATCTTTATATTAAAAATTAAATTGTTTATTATAAATTCAAGCTCTAAACTATATATTTATTTTTTACCCCAGGTGCCCTAAAAAAATAATGTTGCTCAAATTGAATAGAACTGCGAGTAAGTGATAAATATCTTTTTTTTTAATATTTAATATAACTGTACATCATAGGCTTAAAGTCGAAATTACTAAGTAAAACTAAAAATGATATTACTTGGATAAAATAAAAGTTTTATTCTTTTACTTGAGACAAGAATGGGTAGGAATGAGTTTTGAAAGTGGCACACCAAATCCACGAACTAAGCCGTATTCAAGTGGATTAGGTAGCACAGGGTTTTAGCCCAGACGAAGGTTAAAAGGCTAAACTTTAATATTAAATAGAAAATGTGTAACAAAAACATATGTATGTTGAGTTTGACATGTAATAGTTATTTTGGGTAAATTAAAAAATATATTTTATTTCTTATTTGCTTGCAGAGTAGTAAAAAAATAGTGTAAAAAAAGTAAAAGTAAAAAAGAATGGAGTGTTTGGGAAAATGGACGGTGCAGCGGGGACCCCATGGTTCAATTTTGTTGAGCCATTGCGATGACAGAGTATCACGGACGGTCCTATCAGCTTGCGTTGAGAAGAGAGAACCTCAAACGCTGTCCCACACTTGTCTCTCTCTCTCGCATTCTAAAAGGGACTCCCCACTCTAATTATGGCTTAATCATTCGATACCAACTAAAGCTAAGTAACTTTTCTGTTACCCTCTAATCTCTATCATTTTCACGTGCACAAACCTTTTTATACGTATTACACTATTACTACTAATGCTCTTCACCTTTCTACCAGTCAACGTATCAACGTCTACATATATAAAGTTACTTTATTCACTTCTCCCAATCCCATACATGCTTTATACTAGGAAAACTCCTTAATTAACCTCTATTAATTACTATACATTCGTTATTCTTTATAACGTTCAATTAATTAATTTTTTAAAATTAAGTAATTAATTAATTTAGTTTTGATAATAATTAGTTTATCTTATTTATTATTTTATTTTATTTATAAGACTCAACTTTAAAAAATTGTTTATTTTTTTTATGTAAGATCCAATTCATATTATTTTTTTATATATAAATTACACTATAAAAAAAATTATTATGTATATAATTACATAATATTTATTATTTAAAATTATTTTTATCTATATTATAAGTATAAAATATGTTAGTATAGTATTAACTAGTGTAGGTATAAGTTATAGTAACATACAATTCAAAACTAATATTAAAATTATGTGTAAATATATGTCAAATAAATTTATGTCTATATATATTTTATTTATAGTGATACTTTTTTATATCATTTTATGTAATATTTTCTAAAATATCCCTAATTAATTAATACTGATCTTTCTATAAATAGTGCATGTTTAAAGAGTTTATTATAACTAATGCATTTTATTAAAAATAAGATAACACACTTTAATTAGAAATATTTTAATATAAAAATAATTAATATATGAAATAACATGAATTGTGTTTTATATATATAAAGAAACAAAAATTGTTTTTAAGTTGAGTTTTGTAAATAGGAATGAAAGTAATATATCTTTCATGGATTTAATCTTCTCTCAATATTTTTTTTATAATATTAACCAATCATAAATCACCATTTGTATTATTTATAAACTAATTATTATAAAAATCAACTAACATTAGATGATTGTGTAAAATTGTTTAATAGTGTTGTGTATAACCATTTTTCTCATCTTTTATATTTATCTTGAGTTTTTATTGTTTTATAAAAATACTTTATAATTTTATTTTTTTATTTGACGCTTAAAACAGTGCAAAAAACAATTTGGTGTATATATATATATATATCAATACAAATCCATTATAAAGCCGACCCTATTGGTTCTTAGCCGATCATTATTCCTATACTACTAATATAACCTTTAATTTGGTAGACATAACGCGAAGAAAATCAACTAACGCAGATATTCTATGTGCATGTGGGTTGTATCTGTTTTGAGAAAGTATTCTGATCTATATGTGTGTGAGACTGGAAGAGAAAGAGTACTAGTGTGTGCGTATGCATGTGGTGGCCCGTTAAAATTTATGGCTGACAATCACTTTGAGGGTGCCAGTAAATAAGATATTCAGAAAGAGAGTATACGCGTAAAACCAAAGACAGCAAAGAGCAAGTGAAAGGAGAGAGAGGAATTAAGGGATGATGACACCAGACATAAAAGCTCACATATTATCTGTATAACTTTTACTTTATAATTAAAAGAACTAAGATAGAAAAGAGGGAAAATAGAAAATAAAATAGGTCATAAGATAAGAGAGAGAGAGAGAGACTCAGAAAGAAAAATATAGTTGTGAAAAATTAATGTGTATAAACATAAAAATACAATAATATAACTCTCTCTACATATATTATACGAGCTTTTAGTTTTATCTTTCGCATGTTAAAGAAATCAAAACAATATAGCAGAGGACCACTTGGAAGGCTTTGAACAAGTCTATATAACATACAATATTATTTTCAGCCGGTAAAATATATATTATTGGACTCGAGTTTGGTCTATGGCTTTTTCTTGTCTTTTGGCAGAATAATCACATGAAGCCAGGCACTCTCTCTTACAGAATAATATGGGTACCCTCCATAATAACTTATATTATATTTCTTGGCTTTAGCTATTCTAACATCCCTTGTTTTCTTCCTTGTACTGTCTGAAACCTTTGAAAGTTAGCTGTTTGCTTCTACTTTGTTATAGAAGCAAAAAAAACCTTCCAATATAGCCTCACTGCTCTATTTTTTCTATTATGCAAATGATACCCGGTGACCCCTTTTCACTATCCACTTCCATTGGAGGACTTTCCAATGAACAAAACACAAACGCAAACTCAAACCCTAACCCTAATCCCCCTCCACTCACCAAGAAGAAGAGAAATCTACCAGGAACACCAGGTACTTAATATTATTATTATTTATATATTAATTACTCAACTAATTAAAAACACTAATTTTTCCACCTTTGATTAATCTGGATATTGGATTATGTAGATCCAGATGCGGAGGTTATTGCTCTCTCGCCGAAGACTCTCATGGCCACGAACCGTTTTGTCTGCGAAATATGCAACAAAGGGTTTCAGAGGGACCAGAATCTTCAGCTTCATAGGAGGGGTCACAACCTTCCATGGAAGCTACGACAGAGGTCAAACAAAGAGGTTCGAAAGAAGGTTTATATCTGTCCAGAGAAAACATGTGTCCACCACGACGCTGCAAGGGCTCTCGGCGACCTCACCGGAATAAAGAAACATTACAGCAGAAAACACGGTGAGAAAAAGTGGAAGTGTGAAAAGTGCTCCAAAAAATACGCAGTTCAATCTGATTGGAAAGCTCACACCAAAACCTGTGGCACCAGAGAGTATAAGTGTGATTGTGGCACTCTCTTTTCCAGGTAGTTAACTAATTCATAGAGTTTTTGAATGAATATTCTCATCGTGCTGATTTTCTTTCATGTGACTTTATATATAACGTGAAAGTGAAAATTTCGTGTCATGGACATAAAGTAGACATTAATTTAATTGCCAGTTACGAAGTCACGTAAGAATTCTGCTATACATATTGTCCTTGTTTATTGGTAATTTTTTTGTATATGAAATAAATGCTTAAACATGTGTAAGGTTTTTATGTTTGTTCGTGCATTGAGTTTGGGATTTAGTGCGTAATAATTGTGTATATAGTTTAAATGATGAGGTAATTAATGGGGAATTTTCATTGAACTCTTTGCACAGGAAGGACAGTTTTATTACTCACAGGGCCTTCTGCGATGCCTTGGCTGAAGAGAATTCGAGACTCACCTCAGTTGCTACAAGTAGTCTAAATTTTAAGAGCGAAGATGTGATGAACGCACAGGGTGGTTTGTCGTCATGTGGATTAATCACCGGTCAGGGAATGCAAAATGTTCCACAATTTGGTTCGCATATATTCCACCAAAGACCAAACTTGTCACTGTGGTTGAACCAGGGAAATCACCACATGAACAATCCACTTGATGTGGCATCATCAAGTTCTTCAGGTTTGCCTGAGGGATTGCAAATGGCACAAGCTAATAATACCATGCTTGGTTCTTCTTCAATATTCTCCAATTTTGGAATGCCACCTTCTAATTCAACTAATCCAAACCTTTCCTTATCTCCACTAATGGGGAAAAAGGGAGAGGGTGGAGCTTCAGATTTGACAACCCTTTATTCCGAGAGTCAAAGCAATAATTCAAACTCAGCTTCACCGATGTCAGCCACTGCTCTTTTGCAAAAAGCAGCACAGATGGGTTCCACCAGAAGCACCAAGCCTTCAATTTTCAGTGGCAGTTTTGGAGTTATGAGTTCATCTTCCACCCAAACCACTACTCTCAATAGCAATACCGCAAGCCAAAACTGTGACCAACTTGACGAAGCCTTTCAAAACATGAACCAACATGAGAATTTCAATGCAACAAGCAGTGGCTCAACTATGTTGGGTAGCTCCACTAACTTCAGCTCATTGACGCATTCATCAAACGGTTTTGACGAGTTTATGATGCAAAACAATATGAAGCTCCACCACCCTGGCTCAAACACAGTGGAACATAACTTGACAAGAGATTTTCTTGGCGTGAGTGGAAGTGGAGGTGGACATCATCCATTCCTACCGCAAGAGTTGGCAAAGTTTGCTTCGTTAGGCTCATCAATGGGTTTGAACCAATTCACTGCAGGCCATCAATGAAGCCCTTTCTGATCACTATAACTCATATCATGACATATCTAGTGGTCCCAATGAGACTGTGGAAAATAACACTGATCAGTTATTCGAAAGTTGGTGATGCTTCAAGTTAGAGCGAGTTGGTGATCAGAAAATGGTTCTTTGTGTTGTCAGAGCTAGGTTGGGAGGGTAGAAGGGACCCACTGCATGTTTGAGATGAAAGAAGGAACAGCTATTTCCCCGAGAAGTGCATGTTCTCCAAGTAGTAGTTGTTGTTCGTTTGTCTTCTGTTTTAACCTTGTTATCGTTTTTGGCTTCTCTTACTTGAGAGAAGTGAAAGATATAAAGTAATAAAAAAAACATCTAAAAAATAAATGGAAGAGCAGAAATATAGAAAATAATTATAATTAAATAAAGAAGAATACTAGTACTACATATGTTAGGTAGTATTAATATTAATATTGTTGACTGTGAGTCAAATTTCGGTTTCTCGTCAACCATACATAGCGTGGGTTAATGAGAAAAACAAAATTATTTATTAGCTCCTGTCTTAACATAACTGATGAGAAGGTTGAATACTAGTTTGCGTATTGAAATTTGAAACTATTAAAACAATAAATAACTTTAGGTCTTTAGCCAACTTTACACGTTGGATGTTATTATAGTAATCATAATATTGTTAATGATGATTAAGGGGAAGTTCACGAGGTGATAAGGATTTTTACGTTTCTTATTTGGTTGCCTTTTTGGTAGATAGATATCAAGTGGTGCACAGTAGTTTTAAATAGCCAGAATCTAGATGCTAGGCTAACTTTTCGATAGGCCCTGATTATAATATATGACCAAATCTCTAGCTAGGGGCTATAAACTAAGCGTTAAAGAGTGAAGGTCTCGTTTGAGCCATTTGATTTGTCAAATACAACTCCTAGTAATTAATTGAAATTGAATTAGGGCTTAGTATTTGAATGCATGATTCATTGGCAGTTGCTTTCAGGTCAAACTTCTTTATTTGATGGTATACTGAATTAAAAGACAGTCTATGGTTGCTATGCTTCTCTGCATAGAAACTGTAAAGTACATAGCCCAATACAGCTTCCTTCCAGATTAAAAGTTTGGAGAAACGATGGCAATTCACGCATCATTAACCGATTGATATATGTTGCATGTTATACGACCGTCATAACTATTGGAATGGTACTTTCCGGGTAGGTTTTTAATTTCATTAACGATTGGAAGGAAGAAATCTATCCTATTCCAATTCTGTCATAGGCTTCAATATGAAAACTTCCGACGGAAGATATCATAAAATCGCATTGCATAGATGAATATATTGAATAGAATATATTGGAAATACAATTTTTAAATAAGATTTAATCTGATACCACATTTGCAGTACGTACTCTTTGGTATGGATGAATATTAATCTCCACTCATACATAATACTAGAATTCAGCTACTTTGATTAGGGTATATGTAACATTTAGATTTAAAATCCATTCCATATTATAATATACTGAAATCAGCTACTTTGATTGGGGTATAATATTTACATTTAAAATCCACTCCATATTATAAATCTGAATGTTTATTCTTGAATAAGTGTATTTTTCCATATTCAGCATTTTGTTATATATTTTTTTTAATTTTCTATTCCTTGTAAATATTATTTCTTAATTTTAAATCTTAATATAATATATCAATTAATTGAATGTATTTTCTTTTATCGGTTAACTAAGTTTTTAGATTATTGTAATTTTAATCGATTTCAAATGTTATTTTATTATAATTTTTTAAAATTTCCACACCTCATGTTTATTAACATGCATGTTTTAAATGTTATGATTAATAATATGAAAACATACATAACCTTTGCCTTTAGTTTCGATTTGTTGATGATTTTTCAACAATCTACTAAATGTAAATAATTACACTTTTTCTTAAAATATGCCTATAAGATTTCTCATTTGGTTGAATTAGTGATATTAACTCTTTTTACCCTCTTAAATAGCACTGCAAGAATAGAAACTAATATAAAGTAAAGCTGTCATTTTGTGTTGATGTTCTAAGGTTATGAGTGCTGGTGGTAGAGGTTAGAATGGAGATATGACAAAAGGGAAATTTGTTCTCAATTTTCTTCCCCTCAATTTGGAGTACATTTGATAGTCTAATCTCTTAAAGATATTATATATATATATATATA